CACCCGCGTCACTCCCTGACCCGCTTTCCTCCCAGGGCTCTGCTCAGCATTTCCGTGGGGCCCTGTGGCTAGAGGCAGGCAAGACGCTGATCAGGATTGTGCTGAGCAAAGCAACCCCCACCCAGGAGGATGTAGCATCCTAGCGGCACCCCCAGCCCCTGTCTGCCCAGCTCAGGGAGAAGGTGATGTTTTGCTCTCTGACATGTTTCTGCTTGGAACAGGGAGGCTCTAGGCGATTTTGGGAGGGATGGCAGTGAGCATTCAGGAGGATCTGGAAGGCAACCAAAGGAGGACCATGGAGAAAAGGGGTGGCCGCTCCTACGGCAGAGAGGCCCTCATCAATTCAGGGACATATGCTTACAGAAGCCCTCAGGCTTCTGAGGGCATGCTCTGCCCCGATGGGCATAAGCTTTGGGACTGATGTGGAATGGGTACATTTTCTGGGGGACCAGTTTGTCCTCCCACAAACTAGGAGTTGCTCTGATATTTGTTTGTTTTTTTTTTGAGTTGGAGTCTCACTCTGTCACTCAGACTGGAGTGCAGTGGCACGCTCCCGGACACCGCAGCCTCGACCTGCTGGGCTCCGGCAATCCTTCCGCCTCAGCCTTCCAAGTAGCCGAAACTACAGGTGTGCACTACCACGCCTGGCTAATATATATATATATTTATTTATTTTTTAAATGTATTATAAGGATGAGGTCTCGCCAAGTTGCCCGGGTGGGTCTTGAACCTGCAGTCTCAGGCAATCCACTCACCTCGGTCTCCCACAGTGCTGGGATTACAGGCTGAGCCACCGAACTCGGCCTGATATTGTTTTAAGAGGTCCCTAGAGATGCTTACTCGCTAGTGTCCGCTGGGAAGTCTCTCTTGAGCTCCAGCACCTTCCTCACGTACTGAATTCTCAGTCTTTCAGGGTCCCAGGGCACAGAAGGTTCCTGTCCATTCTGTTTCCTGTCAAGATGAAGGCTTTCCTGCTCTCTAGTCCTGCACAGCCTGGCTCCAGGCTTGTTCACACCTCAGGACGTGTTAACCACAGAGATGAGCACCAAACCTGGCTCTGCACCACAAAGCCTGGTGCAGGCTCCCTGCCCTCTCGTGGTGGTGGCACTGAGTTCTTGAAGGCACCCCAGTCTCCTCATGCCCCCTGCCTCCACCTCCTTCCTTCCCTGGCCCAGTCATCTACCCTTCCCTCCATCTCCCTCTGTTCAGCATCTCTGCTCTCCTTTTTTCTTGGTTCCCTTTTCCTTTGTTCTCTCCATGTATCTTGACAGTCCACGCTTTCCCTCTCCAGGCTTTGTCCTCATCTTCCATTACCCTGATCTGTGGTTTCCTCACCCCTCCCCTCCTTCCTGTGGCCCCCTGTTTTCCCAGCTCCCTGTACCTCTGTCTGGCTCCTCCATCTCTGCCCAACCTTGGACCTTCCCTCACCCTTTCTGAATTTTTCTCCATCTCACCACAAGCCAGCACGGTTCTTGCCCCCGAGCCCCTACTCACAGGTGTGGGTCTTCTTTGCAGCTAGCAGCTCTGTAAAGAGGAGAGAGGGAGTCACTGTCAGAAGGTGAGAACATGAGGGGCTGAGACACTTCCCCCACTCCCAGGAACCTATCCCACCTCATGCCTTCCCGGCAGGGCCCGGCCTCTGAGAAGGCAGGCCCCTTTCTGCAGTACTCCCTCTCCATCCCCCTCTGCCCTTTGGCCATGCTGGCCCTCTTCCAGGTCTCCAAAAGTGCCAGGTTCTCCACAGGCTCTGGGACTCCCCCAAGCTGCTCCTTTTGCCTGGAATGCCCTTCCCTCCTACACCCTTAATCTAGCCAACTTCTCTTCCTCCCTCAGGTCTTGGATGATCTGTCTTCCTTGGAGAAAACCATACACGCCCCCTCCCCAGCCCTCACACTGACACACTCAGCTCCTTGCATTTGGTTTCCTGGCAGTCACCACATCACCTAACTGCCATAATTGTGTCGTTATCTATGAAATGGGTCTTTCCTGCCAGATCGTAAACCTCGTGAAGGCAGAGGCCATATCTGTCTTGTTCCCCTCGTTATTCTCAGAGTTCTTCATGGTACCTGGCCTATTGGCAGGGCACCGTAAATATTCTGCAGCCAGAGGTAAATTGTGGGAGTAAAACCTCTCCGTTTCAGAGGTGTGGGGGTTGGGAGTTGTGGGGAGAGGATGTCTGGAGAAAGAGGAGGGGAGAGTTGCAAACACAGACCCTTCACTGGCCCACCAGCCTGCAGAGGAAGGCATCCTTTCCCTGCTGCTGCTGGTGGCTGGGTCTGGGTGGAGACCAGGCAGTAAGGAGCACAGGTGGATTGTCGGGGGTCACAAGGATGCCCAGACCTCCAGGAGCAGCTGCTCAGGGTAAAGCCCTAGCTAGAACATGTTTGAGGTGGGGGGTGTCGCACAGTCATGCAGTTGGCATCTATGAAACATTTAGCCAGGGAGTCCTGGAAGGGGGCTCCCCCTGCCAGACCTTGGTCCATCCTCCAACCACATAGCAGCTCATTGTAGAGCACAGGGTCAGTGTTTTGTTCCAGAAAACCCTTCAGCCCTGCCATTTGCCCCCTACAGCTTCCCTAATCTCTCTGTTCTTCAGTTATTTTATTCCTTCTGCTGTCCAATCCTGACACCACCCACTCCCCACAAAACACTGTTACTCAGCCCAGGAGATGCTCCCCACTGGCAAGCTTCTGACACTGGGTTGCATGGGGGTGAGTGGGCCTGGAAGCCTGGGTGCTGCTGGAGTGGGGGGGAAACTGTTCAGAGAGGGTGTGACTCTGCCCGTCTCCACCCTCC